TGTCTGGAATTATAAAAAAGGATATTTAATTCAGACATGTTTTTTTAGCATGTTGGACACATGTTTGGAGCATGTTCGAAGTACTTGTGTCCATCATGGACACTTTGTCTAAAACATAGCGTCTTTGCTTCCTAGTTGAGAACCACAATAAGGTTCGCCTAATTTCTTTCCCCTCATTTATAAGCCACCAAGGGTTGACCTAGTGGTCAATAAGGTCCCATGTAAATAACCAAAGACTTTGAAGGAATGAGTTCAATTCATAGTAACCACCTACCTAAGATTAAATATATTACCATTTTTACCTTATCAACCAAATTTAGTTGGATCAGGCCGTTGTTTCGAATATTATGAATTGGAAGGAAAATAAGAAAGCATTTTTATTTTGCTAAGAATTTCTTTCTTTTGTTACACACTAGATTCAACAATATGTGCGGCAGGGATTCATCCTCTGATCTTTTGGTTGATGTTATAATAATGTGACTCGTTGAACTATGCTCAAGTTGGTTTATTCCTTTTCTTTTAAGATCTCCATTAGGATTATTGACTTTGTATTTGTCTAACTTGTATCTTTACCCTTCTGAATCTGGTTGTTAACTATTTGAATTGTATGGTTGTGGCAAATGTTTAAGTAAGCTTTAGCTTAATCATTGTTGAATAATTGGACTTTCTCTAAGTTGAAGATGAGATGTCATGAATGAAAAGTTGTTGAGGCCTTCCTTTACATTTTGTTACTTGATACTTCTGATGACAAAATATGAGGAGGAAAGTAATTGATGGCGACTTGGGAAGCAATTTGCTACTATTTACTTGAGGTAGTTGTGTCTTTTGTCCTAGTTTGTAATTAGATGTGAAGTCAGCAAAAGAATGTGAAGTCAGTCGGCTAGTAGATTCTGTGAAGAGAATATGACATCGAATTATTCACATACTGAACAAGAAAAGAGTTTAGGTTTCAAGTGGCCGAAACTAGAGAGTATGCTCTAGTTCTTTTGCAGAGATTCCTTCTGAATGTTTGCGAGTCTTGTATCCTTCAGCTGAAATCAAAGCGAGTACTATTTCCTTTCCATGGCTCTATCATAGATTTGAAATGAACCTGAAAGTATTAACCGAGTTTAAACTTAAAAATCTGTCTTCCGGCTGATAAGATGGCCTTTGTTCAGCTTGTTGATTTCAGACAAATATTTCAATGACTGGTTCCCAAAATATAAGGGTGTTCTTGAGTTTCATCCCTGATAAGCCCTAGCAACTGGAGTCTCAAGCGGGACTGCCAGTTATAATAATTCATCTCTACTCTGTCGACGTCTTCCTCATAGTTGTTAATATCTGCATCAAAGCTTCTTGCAATATAAATTTCCCAAACCATTGATGAGTCAAAATATCATCGAGGCTTTGTTGTCATATTTGATGTACTAATCCTTTTCTGCTTTTTTACCTAGCAGAAAAGATGAGATGAGATTAAAAGGTTAGGCACTTTTTGAAGTGGGTAATAAGGCATAAATTCTTTGTTGGAATGCTTGCAAAGCTCTTTGTTGGTGTATAGTTAAAGAGGAATAGTGAGCTTTCTTAAGGTGAGCCTAAGGATTTAATCTTCTGACCTCACTTATTTTGTTGCTTCTTCTTGGAACTCTCTTGCCAGAAGCTTCATGTTGGCTTGGGTTAGCTTTAGCGATATATACCTTGTCCCATCAAGTGCTTTTCTGCTTCGGATGCTTATCTAATATGTATTCTAATTTTGCATAAAGAGGACGGGCCTTTTTCTTAACTATCAAACATGTGTACTTGGCAGGCTTCTTCCCTGTCTTTTTTTTTTTAAATTATGGTGCAGTTGAATGGGATAAGTCTTCGTTAGAAAGATCGGACTAGGTTAGTTTCTCTTTGTGTCTTGTCAGCTGAGCTTAGCCGTAGTCTCTAGTCTAGTTCCTACCCAGTTCGCTATTCTCTAATTTTCATCCTTGATCTTGTTATATTTCCGCAAGGCATAAGGTACATAATCATTGAAAGAAAGAGGAACCCATTTTTGGTACCACTACACCAGAAAGATCCTTTTTCCTGAAAACGTTAAAGACTAAGGTATCCTGAACATGTTCAAGGATAATCGGGGCATAATGAAGATTTATCTTCATTACTTGGAAAGTCTAGCTTAATTCTCTTCCTCTTGTTTTATAATATTATTTTTCTTAAATTGGACTACGTGTGTTTTCCCTAGTCATCAGTGTCTAAGGGCGCAAATGTCAGTTCTATAAAATATGGGGGATAAGAAATTGACCATCAATCATTTTGGTAGTTCATTGTGGAGCTTGATTCTCATCATTTGTGGTGGTGAGACTCGTGGGGTTGGTGGGAGGAAGTAGTGACAAGGGCGAGGAAAAAACAGAAGATCGGGAAAGTGGAAAAAGTTTGTTATTGATATGGCAAGAAGTTGCCATTTGTTTATAGTCTTGTATTGTGATACACTGCATTAGTCTCTCAATGCTTTGAAGAATTGAAAACATAAATGTTGAAAAACGAAGAACACTTTGGCTACATCAATATTCTCAGCTGATATTGTAACATAAAAACCCCGGATGATAGAGAAACCAAGATCTCACCCATTATTCTCATTGTTGTAGCAATTAGCTATAGTTGCATCTTTTCGAATAGACATTCTGAAAGGATCTGATAAGTCATGTTCAAGAGTGAAGTCCCCTATCCATAACACCTCCTATCAGACCAGACCAGACCAGAAGTAGCCCAATCATTAGGTTCAAGGTCGCCGATACTAGCTACGACCCTCTTCCATAACACCTCCTCCTGAGCAAACCTCCACAACCATTTTAAAATGATAGCATTATTTCTTTACTTAAAGGAGCCAATTCTCAGCCCCCCAAACTGAATAGGAAGAGAGGTCCATTCCCAGCTGACCAGGTGGGAGAAATGTTTATACTCGGAAGAAATTTCTAACGACTTATCCATCTCCTTGGTCGTCCCAATGGGATCTTTGTCCCATTGTAAAGGGTTTTGAGCTTACCTACAAACAAACACAGGGTGGCAGCAGGAATATTCTCAAGATGATATTGGTGATGCAAAGAGAAAGAGAGCTGCTATTAAATATCAGCAGTACCAAGAGACGTCTCCCTCACGTGACTATATGTGAGATTCCACATCGGTTGGAGAGAGGAACGAAACATTCTTTATAAGAGTGTTGAAACCTCTCCTTAGTAGACACGTTTTAAAAACCTTAAGGGAAAGTCCAAAGAGGACAATATTTGCTAGCCGTGGACTTGGGCTGTTACACTGTTGTTAGAGACCTAAGCTTCAATCTTATCCGTCACGAGTTCTTCTTCCTTATTCTTCACCTCCACCCTTCTCCTTCTTCTCCTTCAACTCCTTCAACTCCTCCTCATCCTTCTGCTTCTTTTTATTTCTTCAATTTTTCTGCTATTCTATTTTCAATAATTTAATGACTAACGTTATGATTTCTGCAGAAGGATGCTCTCGCAGGTGGCATTCTGACCTTATCTTCCTTAATTTCTGACAGGGAATAAGATGAGGGTATCACTTGTGCATTTCATCTGTGGACTTCAAACTACTTCTGCTAACAATCATGGAAACTGGGAAAGTATGTAACTTTCTGTTAACTCTTTTTTAACTGCCAGTCTTGCTCAAGTGCCCTCTTAAGTTTGATGAATCCAAATAAGAAAATCAAACATTCAAACTACAATGTGGCGTAGATATGAAAATGGAAATCTTCTTAACATTTATTATATTTGCACAACTCAACTATTTTCTACTTTTTCTTGTAGAATGCTGTCGTGCTGTCGTTTTGTGCTTGTTCTTGTTGAATTGCATTGTCTTTCGCCCCTTTCTATTTGATAAGGCAAAACTATACGTTCAGAGATGCCTATTAGACATTTTAAAAATTTAGAGATTTATTAAACCTAAAATTAAAAGTTTAGAGATATACTTTATACTCTTTAAAGATCAATGATCTTTTAGACACAAGCTTGAATGTTAATAGATTAAACTTGTAATTTGACTTAAAATGTTTTAGTTCAATTTCCTATGTTTAAAAACTTTTTGAACCAGTTGATGAATGTTATTTGAAACGAGCATATTTGCAATGATGTTGTGTGCAGGGTGATAAAAACTTAAACGAGCAATTAAGGTATCTAAGTTTTGACTTTTAATGCAAAGTTTAAAACTTTCGCTAAAGTTTTAGTCGGTAATTTATGAAAATTGATTTTCATTTATTCTCTCTACTTTTATTAAAAAAAATATTTTAAAATGATGGAAGATATATTTGGGGAGTGATTTTAGATAAAATAGTTTAATTATAGTAATAATTATTGTAAAGGCTTTAAATTATTGATGACAGAAAAAAAGTGAATAATGTTAAGAATATAGAATAAAAACCTTGGAAATAAAATTAAGTAAAGATAAATAATTATGGAGAGAAAAAAAATATTAGAAGGGAAATAGTCTAGTTTTCATAATTTGTTAGGGTAAAATAAAACCAAATGGGAATATATATTAAATGAAATAATTATAATTTTTAGATAACCATACAATTTTAAGCTAATGTGCCTATTATTAGTTTTTTATATTACTTTTTTAAAATCATTATTGATATTCACCATAGAGAATTAGTTTATGATTAAATTATAAGTAAATAATACTTATTATATGACATAAAATGTAAGTATATAGTAGTTATATTGTGTCGTATATTTGTTTAATTAATTAATTAATTTTCTATTATTTAAAATTTTAATAGGTAGGTTTCCTAATAATTTTTTATTAGCCCATAGCAACATTAAAAAATTAACTTAGTTGAAATAAAAGTAATTTAGACTCAAATAAAGATTTAATTTAGAAATTGCTGACGTAATAAATCTAAATCGTTGAGTTGTTAATTAGAGGGTTGAGGAAGTAAACTTGATACAATTATTAGTTTAATTCATATTAGGATATAAATGTATTTTTTTTGTTTTTTTAAAAAAAAAAAAAGAAAAAAAAAACGTTTCGCTAACTCGCCAACGGCGGCGCGTCAGATTTGTTTGGTTTATTTCGTGGCCGCCGTGGGAAGGACTGCGAAAATTCTCCGAGCACGCGGTACGAACGCGGCTCACGAAACACGGTCTACACAAAAGTCAGCTTAACATTTACGCAAACGTCTCAGATGCTTAACCGGCTCCATTCCTATTGCTCTCCCTTTCTTGAACGGCTACGGACATAGGCGCGTAAAGCATTTGATTCCCTCCAAAAGTGCACACAAATGGAGAGTTTTGGAGCTCCGGCTACGGTTTACGGATTCAGGGATCGCAGACTAGAAGCTCTGGGGGATCTCCGAGTTCTTCCCGACGAAGTCATCAATACCATCTTGGAGAATCTTACTCCTCGGGATGTCTCTCGCCTTGCTTGTGTTAGCAGGTCAAATCACTATTTCTCTGCCAATTGAATTGAGATTCATGGACTTTTCAATCTCTGGATAATTTCTGATTGAAACCATTCCAAAATTTATTTAGGATTCCTTAATTTGCATAACTTATGTTGTAAAATGAGAGCCAGTCCTGATAGATTGGTCTGAATGGTATAAGTTGTATCCGGTGTAGGTTTTATTTCCTAATACATTGTCGATACAGAATTTTTGGATACAAATTGGCGTGGAGAAACCATTTCTATCTAAATATTTGAACAAGATATTTACTGTGCTCATGTACGCTGCTGCACCGCGATTAGAGCTTAACTTAATTTTGAACTAATTGAAACTTGGTTTCAATAAAAACATTTGCCACCAGGCAAAGCTTCAACCAGAGCTTTTGCGTTATGCAAGCCAGTGAATCCATGGTGTAACCTGTATCTACGTTCCCAAGTCCCCAGTTACACGCTCATATCAGCTAGCACTATAAACCAGCTAGGATTATAACTAAACCATGGTGTAAAGTAGCGAAAGTATATGTCTTAGATCATCAGTGGTAGTAACACAATGCAAACCCTCCTATTCCACTCGTGTCCTCTACTCATCTTTACGTGAATGGAATGATTTCATGGACCGGCATCTGATAAATGCAACCTTGTCATTTCATACATTATTTTTAGTTCTTAAAATCAGATATTAGTTTCTGGGTTATACATACCTTTTCAGATGAGCTGCTGGGGGAAGGTTTCCCTGGTAGATGCGTATTTTCTCTGAATGCTCTTTAACATCTGTTTCCTTTGTAATGCAGCGTTATGTACATTTTATGCAATGAGGAACCACTCTGGATGAGTCTATGCCTTAGCCGTGTAAAAGGTCCATTTCAGTACAAAGGTTCCTGGAAGGAAACGACACTCCGTTTGTATGTTTAAGCAAAACAAAATTTTGCTGATTGCTTGCTCTGCTGATTTTCCTGCGACACATTTTATTCTTTCTGAATGGCCCTTGATTGTGTTGTTTTCACGCATTCATCTTTCTTCATTTGTAGTTGAGATTCTTTTTGTCATTTTTATTTTCTACGAAAATTTTATTCTCTGTCTCATTGTTCTCATCTTCCATTTTCTTCTTCACTACAGAGAAAATGCTCCTCATGGATATGAAGAACCCTGTAGAAAGCAATTACAGTTTGATGGTAATGGTTATTTTGTTTAAGTGAATTTTTATTCTCTTTGGGGATTTTTTTTTTTCTTTCTTCCTGTTATGATATCAGGAATTCCATTCTGAGGTGGCTTCTATTTATTATTGACAACTTGTCATGGCCAGGGTTCAATTCAATATTCTTATACCGAAGATTTTACCGGTGCCATACTACACTGGATGGATTTTATTTGGACGCTGGCAATGTGGAAAGGAGAAACGATCTTTCTTTGGAAGAATTCCAGAATGAGTTCGATGGGAAAAAACCAGTATGTTTACTTAGTTGATATCTTAGCATGTCCTATCTTATTTGAGCTACATTAAGTGAACAAAATTGATCATTTTAGCCATGTGATACTAGAGGATTTCTTTAAAAACAAAAAAAAAAAAAAAATCATTTTTACTATCCAAAATCCTTCAAACACTATAGACCATCCTCTATTTATAGAGGATGCCAACCCACGAATTGAGAACCAATTATTACAAAACACTTTATTGACGAACAAACTAAAATAGAAAGTTACAATTTATCCATGGTCCTAGTACATCAATAGGTAGGTTTTTCCACATGACTAGCATCTGGTTTCGGTCAATCTCATGGGCTATTTTATGCCAGATTATACTTTCTGGCTTGGTTGATTCTTGGCTAGCTAGGCGTACATGGTCACTTGACCATCTATCACAAAAATATGGAGATACTGCATTCAAAATCTCTCAAAGAAGTGCTAAGAAGATCTCAATGAAATTTAAGGATTATGCGGAATACATGCAACTTCAGCACGATGAGGATCCCTTATATATATTTGATGACCAGGTAGTCCAGGGAGATGATAATAATATATACGTTTTTTTTTTCTTCCTTTTTTCTATTTTAAGTTCACATAATAAGTTTATATCATCCATCTTTTTCCATATTTTGTGCAGTTTGGGGAAGCTGCACCAGATTTATTAAAAGACTATGACGTGCCACATCTATTTCAAGAAGATCTTTTTGATGTTTTGGATGGAGATAAGCGGCCTCCTTTCAGATGGCTTATCATTGGCCCTGAGAGGTCCGGTGCATCTTGGCATGTTGATCCAGCGCTTACAAGTGCCTGGAATACTCTTTTATGTGGTCGTAAGAGGTATAACTCCTGAGCTATGGCTACTTCAAAGAAGCACTAATGTTTGTGACAATCCTATTACTGTAGTAATGCAACATACTTTTTTTTTTAAAAAAAAAGATGATTTTGCAACTGCTTAGAGCTTTTTCTACTTATTCATATTTTGTATGAAACCATGATCATTTGATATTGCAGAAGTTCAATACTTGGCTTAGGGATCATTCTATATATGCATATTATGGAAGAATTCTTGTTCATATCATATTGTTGAGTTCAATATATGGTTTAGAGTTCATTCTATGTGTGCACGTTTTGGGCAAAACTGTGCCATATTATATTGTCGTAGTTGAATATTTGGTTTCTCTATTCCTCTATCTGCTTAACAATTCTACCTTGGAATTGTTCCTAGTTTATAGGGATGCATAAACATTTTTTGGCCAAGAAACTAATTAGGCTGTTTTAGTGGGGAAGTTATTCATAAGGTAGAGAGGTTTCTTAGGGAGATGGTGTATGAGCCACTTCAATGTGTTGGATTAGGGATTAGTCCTCAAGTGACAGAATGCTAGAAGCTTGAAGGGTTTCAATCGTCTGATTGGTGATCTTCTTGTTCATATTCCTCCCAATAATGTGGCCTTCACTTGGTCAAACGTAAATATCTCCCGTGTATGGGATTTTAGATTTGTAGTGATTCAGGCCAGGATTTGTTTCTGAGTGTGCAGTGGCCTCTTATCTTCTACAACTTCTGATCATTTTTTCGATTTCAATTAGTTAGATAACTTTCAAATTGGTTTTATACCCTTTAGATTTGAATATATGGCTGGAGCTCAAAGATCTTCCCTTGGCTGACTTTTGGCGGAAGGAATTACCTAATCAGCAGTGGCCAGGTCTCACTTTCACATGCAAGCGAAAGCATATTGAAGATCACACATAAATATGGAATAAGAGACCTTGAACAATGTATTTGTAAATGAGACTAAGATTGTAGAAGAGGCAGTGAATTTTGTAAAAACTCGTGCTAAGAAATTTGGTTTAGTCTTGATCTAGACTGAGATTGTAGAAGAAGCTTTTAGTTTTTCTTATGCCTCTTTATACCAAGAAAGATCGGTTCAAATTCCCAATAGATGGCTTGGAGTGGGGCTTGATAAGTAGCGAAAATAGTATACAGTCGGAAAAACCCTTGGAAGAGAATGAAATCTTGAAAGCCATCGAAGATAGTGGCCCTCTTAATCTCCCGGTAAAGCTGGTGATCTTTTTAATAAGACGTGGAACATAATCACAGATCTGATTTATTTAGAAGAAAGATGGGACAACCATTTGTGCATTTAGATCCATTTAATATTGGTATTCATTGTTTGATTTTTTCAATCTTTAATGGGTTTTTTCCGAAAGGTTCGAGCAGTAATGTGTTTTGGCTTTTATATGGTGCGGTTTTATCTTCTCAAACTACAAGTGATTATGGATAGTTAATTGAGATGGCTACCCCCTCTAACGATGGTGTAAGAAGATGTGTTGCTGTTTTTGCTGTTTGAACATGGGTGTTCCAAGAGCTTATAGGAAGATGTTGAGAGATTTCCAATGGAAAAAGTGGCAACAGAATGGTGTTTGATAATGTAGTGCAAGTCTAAAAAAATTTAAATCAAGGATTTTATCAAAAAAAGGAAGAAGGACCTTTTGCTCAAGTGGTTAAAATGGATGAGTGGATCATAGATAAAGTCGTACGCAAAGAACAGGAGGAAAAAAAAGGAAGAAAGGAGGCATACGATTTGTCTCCAATTGATTGTGCATGTACCTTTGTGATTATAGGACTCCATTATCATGATAATTTGTATGCCACTCCTGGAAGCTTTAAGGAAAGTTACTAATGAAGATCGCATTCTCAATCCATTCACATTGTCAATGAAGCTATCGAGGATTATAGAGTCCGTAAGCAAAAGGGAGTCAATTATAAAATCAACTACGATAAAGTTTATGGCTAACTGGAATTTCTTGGTTAGAGTTCTTGAAAAGAAGGGGTTTGAGTTTAAATGGAGGTCGTGAATCTGGAGTTTTGTGAGATCAATGAGTTATGCTATCCTCATTAATGGGATGCTCCGGGGCTAGGAAATGCGTGGCTTGAGGCCTTAGGCAAGGGAACCATTTCCTCCCTTTCCTCTTCTTATCAGTTGTGGATGTCATTGAAGGGTTCACCTTTGGAAGGGTTCACCTTTGGAAGGGTTAATTTGTCTCTTTCTCATCTCCAGTTTGCAGCGATGCAATCTTGGACAACTTTCTGGTTTTTCTTTTGAAGTTATGTTGAGTCGTAAGAGTACTAGATGCAAGTACCAGTTGTTGGGTCTGAATAGTGATACTGTTAAGCTAAATACATGTGTTGATTAGGTTGTTTGTGAGGTTGGGCATTTTCCTTTGGCGTATCTAGGTCTAGGCTTGGTTCGTTTGGGACCCAGTTGTGAGTAAATTGTGAAAGAGGCTTACATCCCGGAGGAAAAGTTTCTTACTGAAGGGGGGTAGACTAGCTCTCATCCAATCGGTCTTGAGGGGTTTTTAGGATTCTTGTGTTAGTAACTTCTTAAAGAAGAAGATGAGGGATTTCCTTTGAGAAGAGATTGAGGTAGAGAAAGTCCAACTCCATTTAACCAAGTGGCTACCCGACTGAAAAGCACCCTCCTAGAAAAGTTACTCACAATCTTTCCATATCATTAATCACCATTACAGCAGCCTTGAAGACTGAAAAGCTATGAATAGAAAAGCTATTTAAAGTACAATTAGCTAAAGTATGCCTCTCAGCCTTAGACAGGGGTCTGTGCTTCCATTTTTCAAGTTTTGATTTGAACTTGTCGATGGTTGGATCTCAAAGACTTCTTGAGCAATAATTCCCTCCAAGAGGCGCACCTAAATATGTAATCAGAAGTTCCAATGTAGTCTAGGGATCAGGGATGTTCATTTTTGGAGCTTTTGTCCTTCTGAAGGTTTATCTTGCAAGTCTTTCTTTCGTTGTTTGGTCGATCCTTCTCCATCAAGTGATGTCTTCGCCTCGCTATGGAAGGTGAAAATTTCAAAGAAGGTTAATTTTTTTGAACCAAATGCTTCATGGATGGGTTAACTCCTTGGGATAGAGTTTCAAGAAGGTTACATAATTTGATTGGGTCGTTATGTTGTATCCTTTGTAGGCAGGCAAATGAGGACCTTGACCACATCTTCTAGAGTTGTGACTTTGGGTAGGCGATTTGGAGTTCTTTTTTCGTGGAGTTTGGCTTGAATCTGGGTTGTAGGCGCCATGCTTGAGCAGCTCCTTCGCCCTTCTATTTGTGAATTTTTTATGGTAGACTGGAGAGTGCACGGTTGTGTGGGATATCCTGGGGGAGAGGAATAATAGTTTTTTGAGGGCTTGAGAGACCTTGAAGTAATGTTCAGACCCTTATTAGATTTAACATCTCTCTGTGGGCTTCAATGGGTAAGAGGTTTGTAACTATTCGTTAAGTCTTATTTGGCTTGATTGAAGGTTCTTTCTTTAGTTTGCTTCATTTGTGGAACCTCTTTTTGGTGACATCTTTCTTTTGTGGGTAATCTTTTGTATGCCCTTGTGTTCTTTCATTCTTTCTCAATGAGAGTTTGATTATTCATCTTGAAAAAAGTCAGACAAGTTATGATGTGTAGAAAAGGAGGTATGGGCAGCATGGCAGGGATTTCTCCCTAGATTTTGAAATATTGAGTGATTGGAAGCATGGAAACCAGAGATCATTCCTTGCACTAGGGGGCTTCCTTTTGAAATTTATTGATAATCTTGGTTGGATGCTTCCATTTCCTTGACTACCTTCTTTGGATCTGAGGTCTGTGATAGAGCTTGAGGAATCTCAATGATTTTGGAGATTAATTCATTATCTCGTCTAGAAACATAGGCAATGCTATTCACATGGACGTCAACATTTTGATGCTACCTTGCCTTTTCTTTTGGCCAGTAATGTGTCAAGAACGGATATTTGTTATAAACATTCATTCATTCTTAATGTTTCTTATGTTTAGGATAATCATTGTGATATCTGATTGAACATCCGAATTTTATGAATCGTGCTTCTTCTGTGTATATGTACATAGAAACTTATGATGATTTACTTCTTTTTTTCATTAATGTAAAGAATTAATCCACACAAAGCAGTATAACAATGTTTGAACAGGTGGGCACTATACCCACCAGGTAAAGTGCCTCTAGGTGTAACAGTCCATGTTAACGAGGAAGATGGCGATGTCAATATTGAAACTCCATCTTCGCTGCAGGTATTGTCCTAAGTTGGTTTCCTTATCATTAATTTCACATTTTACTAAGGTGGTTGCATGGGCCCCTCCCTCTTTTCATACTGTTTCTTTTTGCGAAACAAAAGGATAAAAATTTACTCTGTGCTAATGTGTATATAGTGGTGGCTTGATTTTTATCCGCTTCTTGCTGATGAAGATAAGCCTATCGAATGCACCCAACTTCCAGGAGAGACAATCTATGTACCAAGTGGTTGGTGGCACTGTGTCCTTAATCTAGAATCAACAATTGCTGTCACACAGAATTTTGTAAATGTCAACAACTTTGAATTTGTATGCTTGGATTTGGCACCTGGTTACCGTCACAAGGGAGTTTGTCGTGCTGGATTCCTTGCTCTTGATGGAAATGGATTTGAAGATGCTGAAACTCCTATTCCCTGTGATAAGGGTAGTTTGAGTAATTTTGACCTTGAAAGGAAAGGAAAAAGGATCAAGGTGCACCAATGTGAAGATGATTCAACTCATCAAAATTCAATAAGCAGTGCCTCTAAATTCTATGATTTGTGGAAGCAAGGTTTTTCCTATGATATAAAATTCTTGGCCTCCTTTTTGGACAAGGAAAGAGATCATTATAATTCTCCGTGGAGCCCAGGCAATTGCATTGGACAACGGGAACTTAGGGAATGGTTATCCAAGCTCTGGTATGAGAAACCAGCAATCAGAGAGTTAATATGGAAGGTACAAATCTGTTGTGGCTGGTGCACCATTCATAGTGATAAGTATCATTTTTTATTCATTTTTGTAAGACACTATCTTGTAATTGAGTTGGCTTGGTTGTTAATGCGAGCTGTAGGAGATCCAACTTTGGTGACCTTTATTTCCTTTTTACCCACTCGTGAGGGATTGTTTTTTCCTTTTGTTCTTATGTTAATTAGCATAATACGTCATGCATAAACCATACTTCTTGGTCATTGAACTTGTAAAAATTTTGTTTCTTTCTCCCTAATTAAAAAGTTTAAATTCTGGTGTATTACTTGTTTACGTTAGCCTTAACTCCTCTTGAAAGCGAACTATGGCAATAACATTGTTGAGATTTTTAGAGGTTTTGATCGGTCTTGGGATGTTCTTTGAGAAAATATAAGGTTTAATACTTCCTTGTGGGGGTGACCCTCTAAGGCCCTTTGTACTTATCATTTAGGTGTAATTCTTTTTTACTGGAAGCGATTCTTATAGGTTGAGGCTACTTTCTTGTGGTCTTTTTTTTTTTTTGTATGCTTTGTATATCCTTTCATTTTTCTTATAAAAGTCTGGTTTCTTATTATAAAACAAAAGAAAAGAGAACATTGTTGAGATTTAACTTGGGATCTCTGACCTTATTCCTAGTTTAATTTTTACTAGTCACATATTTCATCAGTTAAAAGTATAGTTTAGGATAAGTTCATTTAACTTATTCTTAACAAATTATAAGTTATTGATTACTTTGAAATGTCTTAGGGAGCATGTCTTGCTATAAATGCGGGAAAATGGTTAGAATGCCTTGAAGAAATTTGTGCCTATCATGATATGTCTTCTCCCTCTGATGATGAGCGGCTTCCTGTTGGCACGGGTAGTAATCCTGTAAGTGTTCTGAACTTTTTACCACCCCAAGTTTCTATTCTCTTCGTTGTCGGAAATATTTCGTTGTCTTCACGCTTAGTAGAAATGTTGACAGGCTGTGTTAATGATCTTGAATTTCCTTTTTGTTTTTTCTTTGTTCCCCTCCAAAACAAGGAAACAAGAATGAAAGAAGTTCAATAATATATTTGAAACGCAGTACAATCCATATAACAATATCATGTGCACCTTTCCGGTTAAAAAATATGTATACTTCTACTATGAATGCACAATGACAAGGGATTATAATAAAGGCACCCCAATTAAGAAGGCACCACAAATTAAGAAAAATGTCATTCGAAAAAGACTTGAATAAATTAGAAAAAGAACTTGGTTTAGTCAGTGCTAATACTAAAGGCACCCCAATTAATGCAAATATCTTCATCATCTTCTCTCTTTCATGAAAAATTTGTTTCTTATCTAAAATAGTTGAAATGTATCCAGAAGCCTGGGGGATTATGCCAGTGTTAATAGTTAGGTCAATGATCTTATTTTTCTGTTGTCAGTTCTGACTGGAACCAAAACACCAGAAATGGCAAACATCTCTAGCTTTGCCTGAGAAACTTTCCTTTCCCTTGAAATGTATGGTTCTAAACATTTCTGGGGAAAACCCGAGGACCCTGAATAACGGTTATGCTGGTGCTCAAAACTTACTAAAATATACAGCAAAAAGAAACCAGTGGTCATTGTCTTCTGAATTTACCTTGTGCAGAATAATGAATATACTGTTGAGGATTAAGGCATGAAAGGCTTCTATCATGAATAATCATAGGAATTTATCATTCTGTGAACCATCAACCAAACAAAAAATCTCACTTTCTTGAGTACATGAACTTTCCAAATCCTTCTAAACAGGAAGCTGGTCGGGACAAGAGTTTAATGAAAGCCGAGAGTAAACAATTTAATGGAAAAATCTGAGGGGTCCAAATCTAAACTCTCGATTCACAGGCTAGTGACAATGTAGAATGCACCCTGAGTAAGTCTTTTAGAAGACACAACCAGCCAAATCCCACTGAATTCGTTGTTGATTTAAGTTTTGTAGTACTGGTACAACATGAACGTGATCATAAATTCAAATGTAGCAGATAGTGATGGTAATTTAAATATTCAGACACTGAACTGATCAACCCAGGCCATATATTTTACAACTTAGGATATGAATTATGCCATTTTTGTCCTATTACTCCGTATTGTTAATCGTGATTATTAAAGGCTGGTTATTGCAAGTTCTGCACTCTACTTGGAATATGATCAAACTGGGGTGAATAAACTTATGATGATTGCTTATAAGAACTAAAGATGTTTGACTCTGTACATTTGAGCATTAAATTTCTAGCCAGCACACCATCACTATGCCTTTGTGTTAAACTAATGATGTTTTCTGAGAGGATGAAGTTCCTTAAGTTTTGATCACCTTTTCTCTGTCTCTAGGTTTATCTCATGGATGATCGTGTAGTAAAAATATATATTGAAGAAGGTGTTGAAGCTTCACTTTACAGTTTAGGCACTGAGGTAGGCATTGTACTTATATTTTTATCCTAAAATATTATGTATATCCATCTAAATGCTGTGCTGCGTACTTCACAGCTCGAATTTTATAATCTACTATGTAAAGGGAATTCTCCACTGAAAAATCACATTCCTGAAGTCTTAGCATCTGGGATTCTTTATCTTGAAAATGGAGATTATAAAGTTGTGCCTTGGGATGGCAAAAAAATTCCAGAAGTTATTGCCAAGGGCAACCTCCTTCCAGAGAGGTACCAAGCAAATGATTTTGCGTTTGGTGTATGGAGCAAGAAACAATTTGAATTCAGAAAAGCTGGCCTACCAATGCATGAACCAATTGATCCTGCAGAACCAATAAATATATGGCCATATATCATTACAAAGCGATGCCGAGGGAAGATGTTTGCTGAACTGTAGGATCGTCAACTACCTGTTTAATTTCAATTTCTCATCTTGTTTTTTAAAGGATACACGTTATTTAGTCTTGAATGATTGTTGGAATGTGTGCAGAAGAGATTCTTTATCTTGGGACGATGCTTCAAACTTGGCTTCCTTTTTGGGAGAGCAGTTGCGCAATCTTCATCTCTTACCTCATCCACCTTTTAATAATATAATGTCATCAACTAGCTATACATTGGAGGCTATTCCTGATGGCTCAAAAATTCCTTCCAAGTTGGATGTTTTAATTAAAACTTTAAATAAGAAGAGGAAGGGCACGTCAGATTACGTGAATAAATGGTATGTCTCCTTGTGTCACTTTAATGATTTGTTGACGCTCTCTACTAATTTGTAATCAAACATTGATCAAATGGCCAATTTAATGTTTTCAAGTGTGATTGATGACTCGGTTAAAATTTTTATGCATTTGAGTGCAGATGTGATCTTACTGAATGGTCCTTAAACGTGCAGTTAAATGTTTTTAAACTTCAGTAGAGATTCAATTAGAGGCTTTTATTTCAAAGCTCTTGGGATCACCCAGTCGAGATGTTAATATCTCATACTTATTGATCATGTGGTTAAGATCCAAATGCTAGAAACCCAGTAACTTTAGTGAGGCTTGAAATTTATGGATATCAAAAAAAAAAAAAAAAAAAAAAGGAGCTAGTGAGGTCCTAGAAGTAAACAAGTAGTGCAACTCTTTTTGAAGTACTAATTGAGGACAGGGAAATAATAACAGTGCATTTTGTATCTATGCTGGAAAGTTTGCTCCTGCTATGACTTTCTCTTGAAGAAGTTCCCCCCCTTCATCATTGTTACTTGTTCGGCTTTCTACTATGTCCTTTTTATATGATTGCAATATGAATTTGCATGTGTTTGTAATGATGTTTTCTCTGGCTGCTTAACTTATGAAATATTAGTACTATACCTCTTCATTTTTGTAAATATGAAATAAATTATGCTCTTGTATCTTTGTAATCTGCGTCAACTCTAAACAATAGAGGATCTTTGAGTACTAAACAACAGGTCTTTTAGCATCACTCTAAACAATAGAGGATCTGTGAGTGGTGTCTACTTGAAATAACCATTAAACAATATAGGATCTTTGAGAGCTTCATAAGTTGGCTACTTGGGTTTACTATTAGCTGGTCAGACTGCATAGATGGTCATATGCTTTTAGCATCACGTTCTTTCTCAATTCTTCAAAAGATCAGATAAGAACTTCATTTATGGCAATTCTAAGGGGGAAAATCCCTCCTTACACCAAAACACTACTAGAAAGAATGATCATGATGCAGAACAGCCCTCTATCCCTCCCCATAACTACAAGAAACTGCCCAGTAAATTATATCTTATAACTACACTGAATGATTCCTTTAAAATTACGTCTGCTCACGTATTGGTGGAAAGCGATCTCTCTTTCCTGTTTTCTAACATAAGGCCTTAATAATGTTTGCCTAACAATTGCAAAATTCTTCCCGTTGAGGGAATAGCATTGTATTTCTCAAATCTATGATTGTACGGTTTAAGCCGTGCCACCTCTATACTGTATCCCTACCTTTGTCTAGTGTGAATATGTGATGTTTATCTGCAACGATGATTCAGCAACAACTTTTCTAATAATTTGCCACAATTTTGTTCTTCCCTCTTTTTATTGTTGCTATTGATACTGATGCTATTAGTGATAAATGTAATCTATGTTAGAGTATCTGTATGCAGCGAAGCATTAAGCATTCTAACGTGCCATGAAAAGATATAATTTGGCCCCCTGAACCAGTCATTTAAATTTTGCAGGGGTACTTCTATTCCAAGATCGCTGGTTGAGAAAGTTGATGAATATTTGCCAGATGACATGGCAAAGCTGCTTGAGACAATTGAGGTATGCTTTTTACTAGGTTTTCTGGCTACTACATACGTTTTTAACTGCTTTGATAAGGAATATTGTATTGATGGAAAGATCCGACTGCTCTCGGGAGTGCAAAGATGAAATATCCACCACCATCACACAGTAGCAAAAAGAACAATAAAGGCTTTTTTGGCTTGATAAAAGAATGACCTTCATTGATGTTTTAAAAGTTAAAATATTAAAATGAAAAACAAGACTTAGAACTTCATCCAGATAGAAGCACCGGTGAGAATCAAGTTTCAATATACTTATCATCTTCACTGAGCTCATGAAAGTTCTGTGTTTTCTCTCAAGCCAGAAGTAAAAAAAGAAAAAAGAAAAAAAAAGAACTCAGGAAGTATATGGTATAGACCTTAGCTTTTCCTTTGAAATATGTTTTTTGTGAACTTGCTCCAAGATGGTTTGGATCTTATGTGACCAGCCCCATTTGACATCAAAGAAGATACATTTCTTGGTCCTTGCTATTGTTGTTGCACTGCACGCTTCAAGAGGGATTGGGAGATACCTAGATTTGAATTTCTTTAGGAGGGTTGGTTTTTTCTAAGAGTTAAACCCAATAACCTTGGCTACCAACATGTTCATACACTGCACAAACAAGAGAGTCTCCACTTGTGGCCATCCACCATTGGAGTCTCCACTAGCCATTTCCTAATCCCTGATAGAGAAAAGAATCTAATTTTAGTCCTCATCGAGATCATGTTATACATATGGGAATGACCCTCTGCCAAAAAGAGAGTAGAACATGATTTGGGTCATTTTATGGTCAACTGTTTGTCAAAAGCCTATTTTGTTTAAATTGGTATTTTTTGTACTGTGTATAGCCTTTGATGATTTTTGTGTCATTTCAGGATGAAAATGATCTCAACAACCGCATGGATTTATCGTGGATTCATTCTGATATCATGGATGATAATATTCAAATGAAGCCATGTTTAGTTAAATCGTGCTTAGGTGGAACTACTGGAGATAATTACCTGCCTTCCAATGGCTCTAAGAATGGCTGGAATGACATTGAAGAGAGTGAATCTTGGTGTCCGAGTTACATACTTGATTTTAGCAATTTGTCAATAGGTTTGGTCTTCTTTTTTCCACTAACGTTGCATGGTTCATTTATATAATATGGCTATGAACAGTTTCATGCCTTTGTAGTTTACATTTTTTTTCATTTTATTTTGGATTTTATCTATACGTGGATCATGAAATTAGAAATCCCACGTTTTAGAAGTGTGACATCAGTCTTAGAGCCGAAGAGATATGAGACACATGACATTAATTTTCTTTCCTTAAAGCAAGCTTGAAATGAGGCCCCTCTTTAAAGTCCTTCAGTGCTTAGAAAGTCATTAAAAAAATGAAACAAGTCGTGTATGACAATGATAAAAATCATTTGTTTTCTTTTGCAGATGACCCGATCTGTGACTTGATTCCTATATACCTTGATGTATTTAGAGGAAACCCAAATCTTCTTCAGAAGTTTCTGGAAAGCTATAAACTTCCTCTGGGGAGAGGATCGCAAAAGTTTGATTCTGGTGGAAAGTTACACAGACTTTCGTATCGTATCATGTAAGTCAATGGATGTATTTACAATGCACAAAAGTTGATCTTGTCTCTCTACTTCTCGTGTCGTTCGCAGATGTTTTAATCGTAATTGGTGGACAACAGCTCGTTAATGTTAACAATCAAATTCAGTTATACCTACATATTAGCTACATAAGTAAAAGAAATAGGAAGTTTGGTAATAGTCATGCTGTCATGAAAAGTTGCCTTGATTTTTAAGTCTGACAAGTTCTCACCCGGTAGGCCTCTATGACATGACATGACATAGTAAAGATCGAGGAACAAATGAGGTAATAATAGGATGTGAACAGCCAACAGAACTTTTTTATTCTACATAGGTGAATAAGTTGCCATGAATGATTAATAAGGATTTAGTTAGCAGATAGTATCCTAATACTTTAGGAATGATCAAATATATAAGATATAGTCTATATGAGAATCTCTATTTTTTTTTTCTTTCTAATTCTTAGGTTAATTTTTTTTCAAGAGCCCCGTCCAAGCCATGTCTAGCAATGTCCAAGCCATGTCTAGCTATGTCCAAGCCATACTTGGAAATGGTCTAAGGGTTTGTTTCATAGTCTGTTGTCTGGCATTAATGAATTATTTCTGTGGCTTTTTACAGTTGAAATTTTGAAAGTGGGTGTGATTACGGTTTTTTATCTGCAGGTGTTACTGCATCTTGCATGAAGAGAATATCTTTGGTGCCATGTCCAGCATATGGAAAGAACTGAAAACGGCCAAGTCTTGGGAAGAAATTGAGCTAACAGTATGGGGAGAATTGAATAACTATAAGGGTCTTACATGATCCATTTCTGCATTTGAGACATAAAGTTCAAAGAATGACTCACACATTTGTGATTATATATAAGATCGATACACGGGCAGAGGCGATAATTTGTCATCAATAAGGTATGGGATACATAACTATGATAGAATTTTCATCTTGGAGTTTTGTCTTCTTTTCTTTTCTTTTCTCTCATATTTACTTAAATGCTGTAAATTTGTCTGGATGAATGTTTACTTGTACAAAACATTTAATCGAACATATTAACACTCCATTGTCTTGATAATTATTCACATGGGCCATGTGAGCTATATATAATGCAAAAATTGTAGGCTATGGAAGCAGGCCATGACCTTACCACCTATTCAGTACAATGAACAACCGTTGTGTGCAATATTCATGAGGTGAGAACGAACACGAATATATGTTCTTCCTAAACTGCGTACTTTCAGTCTATGTAATGTAATATGTTACAGAAACCTGATTTGATTTGGTTAATCTGATCCATTCATAGGTGGTTGATTAGTAGGATGGTTTTTGTGATGATCCTGCTTTGTTTTTAAACCATCGAGTAATGATTTTTGTTTTTGATAAGAATAAATGGCCAAACGAGTGCACAACTTCCCAACAAGGAGTGAGTTAAGTCAATTCATTTTTGCGTCGCTTCACGCCTCGGTTCAAGAAGAAAGTTTTAGAAAACGAGCAAAGAGATTTTAAAGCAAGAATTGAGGAATTGAAATTAGTGTTTATATGCCATGCAAGCAAGAAGGCATAAACTATTGAGGAGAGAGAAGTGAAAAACTCGAGAAATCAACTCAATTTTGATTTATTCATTTTCTACGAGATTCAACAAGTCTACTTTCAATCCAAGATTCAAAAAGTCACATCAAATTTCATTCATTGCTTCACAAATTGTATATAAACGTCTGCAAACTACTTGAAGAAATTATGATTGAAAGTGAAAAAAATTATAAATAAATAAATCTATTAAATTATACAATATATTTAATAACCTTTACCAATCGAATCGAACTTGCTAGAAAAAATTAAGCTTATTAGGTACTTTAAAAGTTAGATTCTTACAAAAAGTTTGAAAGACAAAACTCGTAATTTAACAACTTAACCTTGAGAGACACAGTTATGTTAAACAAACAAATGTTTTTAAATATCTACTGAGGTTGGCTAACTAGAGAGAACGTCAAGCTAAGCATGCCGGAATTTCAAAATTCCTCTCAACTATCATATCATCAAAATATGAAAGTATGTCTAGAAATAACTGTCAATTAGGAAACAAAAATATCAAAACATTCGAGATGTCATGCAAGCAGCCTCAAAAAGTGGATCCTTTTAAAAGCAAAACAAGATGGCAAATATGAAAGATAACAGAACCCTGACCACATAAATAATGCGAACGAACTAAGCAGCAATGGACGGCTTTGAAGCAGTGGAGAGCCTGGACCTCTTCTTAGCCAAACTCTCACTGCGACGTTCTCTTTGTTCCTTCAACCTTGAGGCCAGGAGCTTCTGATACTCAGCAGCCTCAGACTTGGCCTTCGCAATTCTCTTCTTCTTCTCAGCAATTCTTCCACGCTTCCTCTGCAAGGTCAGTGGGGTAACCAACCTCTGAATCTTGGGAGCCTTGCTAACCTTTTTGCCTGACACAATCAAATAAACCATCATAAACTTGAATCCAGAATGAATGGAACTGAAAAAACAATTTGTATGACCAATAGTCTGTAAATTGCCAAAACAAGACAGGGCCAAATCCAGATTAATTAAGCATAATTCATCTAGGCGTGCAAAAAGCTATACTAAACATTGTAATACCTTGCCAACTATATTAAAAAAAAAAAAAAGTATTTAACCTCAGACCCTTTATTTGCAAAACCACAAGCACAGTTGGAAAATCACAAACCCTCTAAATCTCTCTGACCGACCCCCAACCAAAAACAACCCCACATACAACAACTTAATCTTCTAAGACAGGTTTAGAAAACCCGCACAAAAAACAAACAATAGTAAATCATACCAGCTTTTGTGGTGAATGATCTACGGTATGTGTTAACATACTTTCGAACATCATCCTCCTTTGACAGATTGAAAAGCTTGCGGATCTTGGATGCTCTTTTTGGACCCCTCATTCTAGGTTTCTCAGTGTCTGTCAAGCCAGGAAGATCATTATCTCCCTTCTTCACAATAACCAGGTTCAGAACAGAAAGGTCCTGACTGACAATGCATCCACGCACAGACTTCCTCCTGCGTTCTCCATTACGCCTTCCATAACCACGGAAACAAGGGGTACCTGGCCACAAAAGTAACACATACATTAATTAGGATAGTGTGCTATAAATTACTGAAAATAAATAAATGTAGACCACAAATTTGATTAAATTGGCTGACCAATCAGTAGCATAAAAATTTCAACAAACCTCTGTGTAGCAAGAGACGAACACGGCCAGGGGTCAAAACTCCCTGTTTCATTGGGAATCCCTGCTTGTCACAGCCTCCCATAATCTTGAAAACGTAGCCCTTGAATTCCTGAAAAGAGGAAAATAATCAATCAGAACACTCAACCACAGCTGCTATAAGACTGCATTAAATGGATGACAGAAGAGAACACATACCTCTCCGAGGGAATCTCCACTGACCTCCTGAGAGATCCTCTTGTCAAAAAAAGCACGGCTAAACAAAGACAGGATGATTTTAGTCCATTATAAACACAAAAGTATGATAAATATGACGAAAAATATATGTACAAGCGAAAAAGGAATGGCTAAAATTTTTCTTTTCGCAAATTTATAATTTATAAAATTTTGTTGCTCGGGGAATTGTTGCTTTGCCTAAACAAACAGGGGAAGACATACAGGGAATGCTAAAAACAAATAACGACGAAATGACTACAACTGGATTTCAAAAAACCAAAAGGAGAACTCCGTAGCATGCTGAACAATAACATAAAAATTTACACGGAAAATATATCGAATTAACGCTTTAGCAAAAGGGAACCCAAACATTTACTATATATTTCAAAAACCCTAGTTCCAGCAGGACATAGTATTTGAATCAAATAGAATGCACATTCGAGATTAAAACAACAAATTGAAAAACAGAGGGATTTGAAAGCTAACAGTTTCTGGTCATCATCGATTTCGAGCTTCTTCTGGCATCCAGTCGTCGGATTCGCGATATTGAACTGAATATATAGGAAGACAACGTTAGCATTGCATAGAAAACAAAGAAAACAGTGAGGAAGAAGATGAATCTAAGGACCGAACCTTCATCTTCGAGCGCTGGAATTGTTGTAGAGGCGGCCGCAGAAAATAGACGAACCAGCGAGAGAGCGAGCAACGCCTTACAGTTTAGGGTTTAAAAGCAGCGCTAAGGGAATTTATATATATACTGCAATATTTTAATATTGGATCTGAAACATTGGGCCTAATCTATTCAATTATGGGCTTCCCACACATGGGCCCAAATCATCAACTAAGCCCAGTCCTACAAAGCCTTTTCAGAAATGTATTCTCTTTTTCTTTAAATATTAATATTTTTTTATTAAATATATCCAATTATCTCAAAATTTTATGTAATTCTCAATTAATCAACCTTTTAAATTATCATTTTAATCCTTGATCTTCAAAAAATTCTCTATTAAGTTCTTTCATTAAACAAAATAATAATAAATAAATAAATAAATATAATCGAAGAAGACCTTTTTTATTTTTATTTTTTAAATAATGAAAATATAAAGTGCTGATAAAAAAAAATCATATTTTGATGAAAACTTTTATGAAATATTGATATAATATAAGAGAAGTCAATAGAGGGTTTTCGTCTATACATGAATGGTAATAACTTTTTTAACCGTAATAACTTTTAACCGTTACTTTTAAAATTTCATGAATATTTTTTAAATATGAAACTAACCGTAAGAGTATTTTTTTAACATTTTTAAAAATCGAAAGATATTAATGAAATTTTTTAAAGTTTAAATGTATTTTTTTAAGCATATAGCAAATATAATAGTTTCCATAAAAAAAAAAAAAAATAAACATATTTTTAAAAATATTTTTATTAATTTAATTTAATATTTATATATATATATAGGTTTTTTACACACTAAAAAAATTATTTTAGGCTTAAATATTATTTTAATTGTAAAAGCTTTTGCTTTATTAATCTTTAATTTTAAAAATTAATGATTCCATTTTAAAAAAATCAAGAACAAAAAAGAACTATAATAACAAATAAAATAGATTTTAAAGATCAAGAATTAAATTTGACATTTTAAAAGTTTACGAATCAAAATATAACAAATTTGATAAAACTACGTTATTTATGGATTAAAATAAAATGTTCGAACTGAAACAAACTTTATTATGAAATATTAAAAATATTAAAAGGAAATGAACTCAAATTTTATATATTAAATTCAAATATATATTTTTTTCATGTTTTTATTTTCTTTAATAAACTTATTAACGTCAATATATAAATTTTATTAATATTTAAAGATTTAATTTAAAATATCAATATTAAAGTAGCTAAATCATAACTAAAATTTTGTTTGACGTAAACTATATAAATTTTACATTTAAAAAAAAAATAATAACTATATTTGTATTTTGAATTAGTCAGACGCTTCTGCTCCAACCATTACCTTTTGACTTTTGGAATATTAATCAATTAATTATAGTTAACAATTAATATAAATTTATTATCGTGACCGTTTCATATTATACCAACTATATATATATATATATATAGTCTTATTAAACGACCATCTCTTCAACCTTCACCAACTAATTATTTTTATTGCATCATGGCCCACCGTTGAATCAATTTTAAAGCTCGACTCAAAAGAAATTTACCAAAAAATACTTTACAAGATTTAATTTATATTATGAATTTATGATGGGTTATTTTTTAGTATAATTAAATTTGTGACATAAAAGAAATAATTGTGTATGAGTTCTGTTTATTTTAAGAATGATTATGAATTTATATAAGTGAGAAATACTAACTCCATTGGTATGAGACATTTTGGAGAAGACCAAAGCTTAGGGTCAAAGTGGACAATATCATGTCATGGACAGTCGTGTTCAGATGAAAAAATAAATGGGTTATTTTATTCAAATTAATTTATAAAAAAGAAAAAGAAAAAAATTTGCTGCCAAGCTGCTAAAATAAAAACGTTTTATTTAAATTAATTATATACATTACATATACAGACAGATTTGTCGGAGCCAACGGCTGAGATTGAATCCCTGAAATCTCTCTCTATCCCGACCGCAATTATAGGTCCACTACTTCCTAAAAAGGCCTGCATTCGGCCTCAAAAGCTCACCTCTTCCATTCTCCGTCGTCCTCTCCTCCCCTTTCCCTTTCCCTTTCCACTTTGATCCCAAAACACCAGACCTCGGATCTAATCTGCTTTCCTCCTGCAATGGCTGCTACCCTCTCTGTTCGTGAGGAGCATGTTTACATGGCCAAGCTTGCCGAGCAGGCCGAGCGCTACGAGGAGATGGTCGAGTTCATGGAGAAGGTTTCAGCTGCCATCGACAAGGAGGAGCTCACCGTCGAGGAGAGAAACCTTCTTTCTGTCGCATACAAGAACGTTATTGGCGCTCGCAGGGCTTCCTGGCGCATCATTTCCTCCATCGAGCAGAAGGAGGAGAGCCGAGGCAACGCCGACCATGTCTCTGTGATCCGTGATTATAGATCCAAAATTGAGACCGAGCTCTCCAATATTTGCGATGGAATCCTCAAGCTCCTTGATTCCAGACTCATTCCCTCCGCCGTTTCTGGAGATTCCAAGGTTTTCTACCTCAAAATGAAGGGTGACTACCACAGATACCTGGCCGAATTCAAAACCGGAGCCGAACGCAAGGAAGCCGCCGAAAGCACTCTCACTGCTTACAAAGCCGCTCAGGTCTGCTTCGTTGATTTCCGATCCATGTATTTGACTGCTATTTTGGCATTATAATGAGCCTATTTCTATGTTTCTTTGTTTGTGTAATTATTTTCTTTATTTAAGATCACGATAGTCAAATTATTGTTCCTCTTTCTAATTAGAAGGTCAATTCCTGCTACGTGCTTTCCGCTCGATAGATTTTCGTATTGCGTAAAATTGAACCAACTTCCTATTTGATTTACAGGATATCGCGAATGCTGAGTTGCCTCCTACACATCCTATCCGACTTGGATTGACCCTTAACTTCTCTGTATTCTACTACGAAATTTTGAATTCCCCTGATCGTGCCTGCAGTCTTGCAAAACAGGTTAGCGAACTTCCGAAGTTTATACACTATGTTAATCAAATGTTCAAATGATCTTTACCGTGTTTGGTATGAAATTATCATTACGTTACTCTTTTAACTGCTCGGGCAAACTATTGACGTTCGAATCATCTTATAATTGCCTGGTTGTCCGTTTTCATGTTGACTGAGAATCCGAATCTAGAATGCTCTGCTTTTATAAGGCCTTATGTAACAGTTTCTTCTCATAAACTGGCGTAGTTTACCATTTAATTCATCTGTTATTTCCATGCTTAAATCAGGCGTTTGATGAAGCTATCGCTGAGTTGGATACCCTTGGCGAGGAATCCTACAAAGATAGTACTTTGATCATGCAACTTCTTCGCGACAACCTCACTCTCTGGACATCGGACATGCAGGTACAGAAATTTAATGCATCCCACTTTAGTATTATGGTAGATGTACTGAAATAATTCATTACTCAACGATACAGTGACCGTGGCGTAGTTAGTTATAATTTGAATTCAAATAATATGGTGAATATTTATGAACATATTACTCACAATAAGCTATCTGGAAGAGCTACTAAGCTGTTCTATTATAAAATCTAATTGATGGCTGAAACAGCTACCATGCATTGAAGGAAGTACGATTAAATTACTGAAAATGGTCCAAAGGAATTACAAACCCTCCTTTCCCTTTTCAACAAGAATTGCACCCTTTTACGCCCTAATTTTTGTTTTCATGATCTTGTTATAGGATGATGGTGCGGATGAGATCAAAGAAGCTCCCCCCAAGCGTGAGGATGAAAAGCAGTGAGATTAGTGGGTCCCCAAGTAGAGTTAAACTTCTCCTTTATATGTTTTTGATAGGAGAAAATGCTTGCTTGTTGTTGCTTATTTTGTACTGTCCTGCCTTCTCTAAGGCTCTCATGATATTTGGTTGCGAACCGAGCTGCTACAGAACCTTGTTTACCTTTTCTGATTAATTATTATATATCAAAAATCAGTCTCTGTGTTCCTTCTCATTTTTATGTTACTGCGTTCCTTCCATGTCCATGTCCAGTCCATGTCTATTTGAAGCTCTGATAGCATTAGCTTCTATTTTGTTGCCAAGCTAATGGCTTCATGTTGAATCATCCGCTCTATCTACCCCGAACTTTCGTTCACAACTATTGCTCCAAAATTTTGTTTGTGGTTCATATTATTAGATTATTAATTTCTCAGTAGGTAAGATTCCACTTTGATTTGAGAGAGGAACGAGTGCCATAATTTGTATATGAGAAATCTCACATCTATTTGAGAGATGAACTAGTTGGAGTTGGACGCTGGGCTTGGAAGAGAATGGATTGTGAGATCCCGATTGCTTATAGAGGGAAAGTGAAATATTTTTTATAATGGTGTGGAAACCTCTCTAACTAGTACTGTTCCGACATGGAAGAGGACAATATCGAATTTTGGCGGTTACATTGATAGAAACTAATTTTTGGAGAATTATAACTCACTTGTTTTTTTATTTAAAAATAAGCTAATTTATTAATTATGTTTTAAAATAATCCCACCAAACAAAAAATACATATTCTCATTGACATTATTATTACCGTTTTAAATCAACATTAAAAATTAATATTTTTTAAAAAATTATTTAAAGATATTTAAGTTGACTAAATAAAAAATATTTAAAAAACAAATTGGAGACTGAAATTGAAAACTAACGGTGTTGCATTTTTAAATTCCAGAGTGGATAATAAAATAATATATAATAGCAATTTTCCCTCATTCTTTTCCGAGGCTTCCTTCTGACGCATAAAACGGCAGCGTTTCCTGAATGTACCTGCCCGAAGGGGACTAGTCGCCGACCCATCTAGGGCTTGACGCGGGTACAGTTGGCGAGAGCGGCAACTATGGAAACCCTAATTGACTTGTCGATGGTGAGAACATCAGATTTGGGGAAGAGAACGCACTGTGCGAGGACCTTGGGGAGTTCACGCATCCGAATGCCAGGGGCGATTATGGCGGCACCTGAAACTGTGGATGTGACTGTAACATTGCAGACGATGGTGGGAGAGGCATCGAACCTTGCTGCTGTGTGGTGAAATTGTTCCAGCAGGACGAGGCTAGATGGTTGAGTGGTGAGAATCCTTGGGGCGGCGGTGGATTTGAATTGGCAATGGGAAATGAGTTTTGGATGTATCGCATGTATGCTGAGATAGGAGATTCGGCCGCTGCGTGGACGGCTGGGAATAGAGGCAACGGCGATAGCGGCACTATAGGCCGGCCGGTGAGGCCGAAACTCAGGGCGGTCGAGGGGTGGAAATTGGAACTGTTTGGTAGCTGTTGTGGAGGGGGGCGATTAGTAACATGAGCGAAAGGAGGAGGGCGAATTCGTTGGAGGCGGGAGTTTTGGGGCTTAGGAGGTTGAATGGGCGGAGGATTTGATAAGCGCTCGTGAGCGGGTGAGCCTGTAAGCTTCTGAACCACATCGTGGAAGTCATTCTTGTTAATGTTATACACCGGGGGCTGGTGCTGTTGCGCCAGCGCCTGTAGATTCTGCTGCTGCAGTTGAATGGAGGGGTTGCCGATTGAAGTCGATTTTGGGTATGGTTGAAGCTCGGATGATTTTGATTCAGAGGAGCATCAAAACAGGGCTTTCTCAGCTGGGATTGGGAAGTAGCCTTGGAGATCTTGTGGGATAGTTTGCTGAGATTGAGACTATTATGGTCTCTCCCTGTAGCACTGCTACTGGTACTGGTCGATTCTATAGATGTTTGACTGCTTTTATCCATAATGTATATAATCTAATACGTTTTTGTTGTCTAACCTATACACAAACAGATGAATCAGGCACAGGGCTCACAGCAGACAGCTCTAGGAGCGGTGGGGATAGTGGCCTACGCCTCTTTCTTCTTGTCGGCAGTCGGTAAGTATAGGGACACAAACTCTCTGTGCTGCTCACAGTATATATATTATCATCTCAAGCTTGAAATTGTGAGAAGATGGTTGAATGATAATTACAGAAGGGAAGAAGCTGCCCCTTATATTTTCATTGACTAATACACTTTTAATCCAATGGCACTGTTGCTAATTTCGTGATTAAATGCATGATAAGTGAAAGATAATCAAAGCTTACGTCTGCTAATTTGTTGTGTGATCTCTTTGTTGCTGGTCAAAGGTGAAGATTCGAACAGTGTTCTTTATGTGGGATTGAAAGAGAAAGAGAAAGACAAAGGCTGTGTAGATAATCATCATCATGTTTCGCTTACATTGGACCCATTCGCCGTAAGAGATTTTGATCCTTTTCTATTGATTATTAAATGGGAGTTCTGAACTCTTTTTGTTACATGATTTGGCAATTATTTGTTGTAGAACATATGGTAACAATTTTATGTATTAGATTTCATATAATGTGACGATTATTTTTAATTTGTTATATTATTTGTTTCAAAAATACTTATGGTCTATCTATTGTCGTAATCTTACTTTGATTATTAATAAAGATTTGTACTGTACATCATTTTAACCATTTTAATTTTCCTAAGCTAACACATAAATTATATTAATAAAAATTCATAACTGTCTAAAAAAAATTAAGTTATATCATTTTTTTTTTTTTGTTAGTCACTTTAATTAAAAAGATATTTAAAACAAAGTTGGAAAAACTAAATTGACGAAGTTCAGAAAAAAAAAAAAAAAAAAAAAGAAAGAAGAAAAGAAAATTCACTTATTGGGCTCCAATTTAAATATACGGCCCGGCCCGTTCACTCGGCCCATTACAGCCCATTACCCAAATTAAAGGAGTGACGTGGCAATTTCTAATTGGAGAACCATTATCGCTCTTTCGCCTCAGCTGGAATCATCGGAACCAGTGAGTGGTCAATTTTAACCTAACCAACGGGTTAGTGTTTGTTCCTCTTTGCTTTGCCCTATCGCTCGCCTCTGATATCATCGAGTCGTTGGGTTTGTAGCTGCAACCGAAGCGGATCACTTCTTCTTTTTCGATACATGGCGGAAGCGCAGAGTGAAAAGCCTCCTTCCTTGTCTGAGGTATTCTTTTTGCAGCTTTCATTATCTCAAATCTTTCACTTAACCTAAATTTCTGTTTTAGTTACGCCCTTGCCTTCAGTTTTTGTAAAATTTTCCCCGGTAATGTATTTTAATCGGTCGATTAACGGTCGATTTTGATAGATCGGTTGTTTTATTGTAGCATTTCTTCAATTATAATGACAGGTGGGGTTTTTAGTTGTAAATTCATCATTTCTTAGTGTTCTGGAAAAAAATTTGTACAACAGTGGTAATGGATTAGAATACCCCGATTCCGTTGGAAATAGAAATAGTTTTGAGATCCATTAGCAATAAATCGTTGGAAATAGAAATGGTTTTGAGATCCATTAGAAATAGACCGTGGGTTCTGGTGGTTTGTTTTGCTCTCTTTATATTATTTGTTTTGACAAGATCAATATGGTTAACCAAGTTTTAAAGAATTGTTACTGATAGTTTCCTAGAAGATATATATTTTTTCACTCCCCATTAAAAGAAAAATAAAAACCAATAACCCAACTCTTAGCAATGGCCATTGTTCTTAATAATTTCGCCCAACAGCTCTGTATACGATAAAGAACAAAAGAAACAGGCTTGAGCTGCCTAGTTTAACAGGGGAATTGGAATTTGAAGTCAAATTTTCTTCTTAACTAGAACTCCCAGTAGTAAATCGTGTTGGTTTGTTATATAAATCCTGGGAGCTATATACCTTGTGGTTTCTCTGTGCTACTGTGATTTTGGGGAGTGAAAAAAATTTACCCTTAAGATCATGGTGAGAAGCATGTCTCAGTCATTATTGTTCTCATATCGGGACATTCTCATAGAGTCTGTCCCCATCGCTTTTACAAAGAATATCCGGTAATGTTCGGATTTGAGAATTGAGAATAACCTTCTGTTAATTTCGCTTTTAGCAATATTCCTTGAAAGAAAAAGAGGAGAAGGTGGATATACTGAAGCCCTCTGAAGTAAAAGAGGTGGAGAACTCAGAAAATGCTGCCCCAGCTGAAATTGTTGTGAAGAATGATGAACCACCTGTTGAAGCTGATGCTGATAAAGGCAGTAACAACCCTCCTGCTGATGAAAACAATGGGGATGCTTCAGCAGCTGCTGCTGTAGAGGATTCTGAAACCAATGCTGCTGCTGGAGAAGAGGAAATATCTGGTGACCAAGAAAGCACGGATGAGCAACCTGAGATCAAGGTTGCTGCCCTGTTTATTTTTGAAATGCATGACTTGTAGGCATCTTGTAGTTTTGATTGTTGTATATATTGTTTGCTCATTCTTTTGTTGCCCATATGCAGCTCGAAACGGCACCAGCAGATTTTCGGTTCCCTACTACAAATCAAACTAGGCATTGCTTCACCCGCTACATTGAGTACCATAGGTAAATTTTAGCGTGTTTTTTGTCTTCTTCTTTTATTCAATTCTTGGTCCTTTCATAATTTAGTTGAACTTCCTTGAAAGTATGTGCTTATCTTTGTGATGCGTACAGATGCACACAAGCCAAAGGGGAAGGCGCTCCGGAGTGTGACAAGTTCGCGAAATATTATCGTTCTCTTTGCCCAAGTGAATGGGTATGTGTTTTCGCTTCTGGATCTATTTTCATTCACTTATTTATTCTTTGAGAATTCGAGGACACTGTTATACAACCTACTGTTCAAGTAAGGTTGTGTTCGATCACTTAATTTAAACTTGGTAAAAAGTGGGAGATTAAAGTCAGCCATATGCTTGATGTAAAATGTGCTCTATAAGACCTTTATGTTTGTCATTTCATCAACACGGGCACGAGCTCGAAGTTCATACGTATCTCTACTCATAGTTAATCAATCAAAGTATTACTTTCTCGACGAATTCTGGCAAAAGCACATTAAAATTTGATTGATAACTGTTGCAGGTAGAGAAGTGGAATGAGCAGAGGGAGAACGGATGCTTCCCAGGTCCGCTGTAGGAGGGTTGCCTATTCGAAAATTCATCAGCAGTTTGCCGCACGCTGCCGTAAGACGGGCAAATAAACTGGAGAATGTTGTCTCTATCAAACAATTGAGTTAATAATTTTCGGCTGGTTTTGTTTTTTATTATTCAAATCCATTTGCAAGCAAGTTTTGTTGATTCCGTACCAAATGGTTTTTCCATACTTAGATCATGTTTCATCAATGGCTACATGGAGTTAGAACCCAACCACTCCTGTAAGACCCATATCGGATGCACTGATACATGCTTTTATGAAAATTCTAATAAATTGTAGTTAGCTATTCTCTTTGTTCTCGACCCATTTTTCTGACCAGAGTCTTGCACAGAAGTTGAAGGGTTTCACCCTTAAACTAAGATGGAAGTAGTGTTGTTTAATAGAGAAATTGATGCAGAAAACAAATTTAAATCCTGACAAATGAAACTATTCAAAGTAAAAGGTATAATTAGACATAGCATTTAACCAAGAACATATAATCAATTACTTAGATGTGTCAACGAAGGACTCGATTTGAATTCCGCTCGGGATCGTAGTCGACACAAATAACAATGTCCTTAAATGTATAACTAGGATTGTGTTTATTATAGCAAAACACAATTTACACATTCATTGCAATTGGAGCGTAAAAAAGAAAAAAAAGAAGAAAAAAACATATATAGATCGACGCATAGTTCTAATCTGGAGATTCTGGTTAAGCTCTTTCACCACGGATTCTTCTGGCAAGTTGAATATCTTTCGGCATTATTGTAACACGCTTGGCATGAATGGCGCAGAGATTGGTATCTTCAAACAGCCCAACGAGGTAAGCTTCAGCCGCCTCTTGCAAAGCCAAAACCGCGTGGCTCTGGAAACGCAGATCTGTCTTGAAATCTTGTGCGATTTCACGGACAAGCCTCTGGAATGGGAGCTTGCGGATAAGAAGCTCAGTACTCTTCTGGTACTTGCGGATTTCTCTGTATCACATACATTACAGAGGGCATAAGATTCATGTAAACAAGAAACCATGATTGATTTTTTCGAATGAGTAAAGAACAGATGTGGTAACATACCGAAGAGCAACTGTTCCTGGGCGGTATCTGTGTGGCTTCTTCACGCCTCCAGTAGTGGGTGCCGACTTACGCGCAGCCTGGGAAAATATTGGTCAATTTACAACACGTTAGGTCAGGAAACAAATGAAAATTTAGAACTTGGTTGTTTGAAATCTTCCTAGAAAATACCTTGGTAGCAAGTTGCTTTCTGGGAGCCTTCCCACCTGTAGATTTGCGAGCAGTTTGCTTCGTACGAGCCATCTGAATCAATGTCGTGCGAATTAAATATCGTCGCTAAATCAAAACAAAACAGATCGCTAAGATAATTCCAATGTAAAGTGCGTCTCTGTTTCTAGAAGAAACCTATAAATTAGAAGCACCTACTAAACTTTACCAGCATTTAGCCTGTGAATATGAGATTATTTGATTATTTGACCTACTTCTCCCCATTCCTCTCCTAAAACTTTTCACGGATAAAAGCGCAAGTTCTTCGACTATGTAGAGGTTTCTAAAGATTAGTTATCAACAAATCTAAAAGTTCGAGAAATAAATTCAGAAGAAAAACTAACCCTAACCGCATAAACAACATTCGATTATAAAGAATTCGAGCAGAAGAATATACCATATCTTCCAGGAAAGAAATTGAAAGGAAAACCGAATAATACTAATCAATCACAAGAAAATAAGTCAGATAAAGGAGACGATGATGAACTAACCTGGAAGAAGAGGAGGGGCTTGACAAGCGAGAGAGAATTTTCGTCCTCGGATAGATAGGTATTTCTTTCAAAATACGGATGAATTAGAAGATCGGGGAACCAAACCCCTTTATATAGGACCTCCCGGTCCGACCCAAGCCTGTGCCGTATGGCGGCGGATGGACCGATTAGCGCTCACTGTGTTTCTTCGTGCTTAATCGGACGGTAGAAAGAATCCTACCGTACTTCGTACGAGTGGATCAATGGACGGTCACGATTCGACTTTCCGAAACATTGGACGGATCGTGAAAATGACGTGGTGGCTCCTTATTGGTCGTGGGGACACTAGAAAATTTTTGAAGGCAGAAATGATTTTGTCCGTCTTATTATACTTTAAAATTATATGAGATTTATTATATTATTTAAGATGAAAATGTTAATTTTCAACTAATTTTAGTAATTTCAAAATTGCAATTTCAACAAAATATAATTTTTTTTTTATAAATATATTTGTTTACGAGTGATTTTAAATAGTTAATCATTATTGTCATATTTAAAATAACTTTTAAGGTTAAAAATATATTTTTTACTATTTTTTAATTTAAAGTTTAATTTTACACTTTAAAATATGATTTCATACCATAATAATTAATTTTTTAAAATGATTAGGAGTACGTTTCATAATAATTTTAAACTTGAAAAATATGCTTTTTAACCCTTTTAAAATAATTTCCAAAATTATATTGGTGATTTTCAACCTATTAAAAGTCAGGATTACATAATGAGTGCAACATTACATTATACAGACCACAATATATTTTGCACAATTGAAAATCTCTGGAATTGTTAAAATAAATTTAATTGCTTCATTATTGCACTAATTTAATTACTATAAGATGAAAACAATTATGCTTAATTACCCACTCCTCCCCAAATGGAGTGGTCATGGAAACTTTTCTAAATTTATAGCAACCCCCTCCTACCCTACTATACTACCGCCAACTACCAAAACTCGGGTTATAAGCACTCCATCGTCCCGTTGTAGCTGCCTTACTGCAACAACGTACAAAGCTGGTGCGACGATGGGGGGTGGGGGGTGGGGGGTGGGGCGCCTGCATATACATTGAGATGTAGGGGGATTTTATCTTGCTATTTAATGGAACTATCTGAAAATGGAAGTCATATTCCCATTTGGCAATTCTCTTTGACATAAACAATCTGGCAAAGGGTTAACATAAAAGGCTTCTTCTGAGCGGAACCTGTCCATGCCCTTGGTTCCTGAAATGGGACCTTTTCTCTTCCTCGCAGAGCCTTGCCTGAGAAAACAGGTTAAAGAGCAAAATCAAATACATGTTTGTTTCTTTAAAGAAGATCACTAGAATTTGCTCCCACAATGCAATATCCAATTAACTAACAACAATAAGAAGAAAACATAATACCTTCTCTTGTGCATTTCGATAATCCGGTGGGCCAAATTTTTCCCTTCTTTCATTGTTCCCTGATCAACTTTGTCGAACAAACGAACAAGCCCTTTCCTGGTTGACGATGACAAGATGATACAAACAGTTTCAGAGGAAGCAATTTGAGGCAACGTTCGAGTAGAAAATGCTTGTAATGATAAGTTTCTTGCCTGTCAGGAGATATTGTTTTCCTATGTCCAAGAAATCGTCGGTGACCTTCAACTGCTCTTGCCATATTCCCAGAGTATGAAGGAACAAAAACGTCACTCTCAACAGACACAATGTAGTCCAGAGCAGCCATTTGAGATGCATGATTGACAAAAGGTTCGAGCTCCTCAACAGATGCTAACTTCTCCTGAAATTTGCAGAAGAAACAAATAAGCCTATCATTGCAAATTCACAAGCCATGCGACACTTCTGTAAGAAGTTTGTGTGGGAAATCCCAGGAACCCACCTTACTGCCAAAACAGGAGAATCTTGAAAATGATCAACTATTGAACGGCATAGCTAACAGGACATGGGATTTGAGTTTTCTAAGTTCATGAAACTTTTGATATAATCAAAAGTTTTTAAAGAAATCTTGTAGTTTTCAAAATAGGAAATTAAGGTAGTGAGGTCCAAAAAGTAACAGTACATGTTCATACCTTGCTCATCAGTAATGGATACCGTGCTTGCAGATCAGACATGTGTGAATCACCACCATAAATCTCTCCAGCTGCAATGTATATAGGAGTTTTGGACGGGTAGCCAAGTGCACTAAGAAATATTCCGACCTCCTTTGGAGTTAGTGGGCAGAACCCTTTGGATCTTTGTTCCAAAGGATCAATCTCCTTTACCTTCCAATATGACGTATTTTCTCTGCAGGCATTGAAGTCAACTCAACACATCAACAGAAAAACATGTACAATGTAACCAGACACATTAAGGTTTATAGGAAGGATCTTATACCTAATCATCTGTAGCTCGTCTGCTTCAGCAGGAGATAAATCATGTGTACACCCACTAAATGCAAGCATGTCCTTCTCATATCGTAAATGTAGAGCAATATAAGGACCACGGGACCTCATTCGATCCACCAATAACTACAGTATATATTTTTTAACTATTTATATAATCGCTAAAAGAAGGGACACGATCACTGCAGCAGCAAAATAAGACTAGAAAAGAATATTACTTTGCCCAAGGCTTCAATTTTAGGTGCAAAAAGAAGGGCTTGGTAGCAAGCACGGCAGCGGAGTCTCTGGATATCTAAAGGTAGATTATTGTTTGCTAATCGTGAATCAGATTTTGCAGCTCGAATAACCTACAAATAGCACATTAACTAATGAAGAACAATTATAGGGATTTTCATAGACAAGATCCAAATTTGGTCTAAGTACCTGATATTCATCCCAAAGGGTAGCGATCTCCTGCTCGTAATAATCCTTAGCTGACCAGCTTCTAAAATGCTTAACTATCTTTGTAGCAGTAGCCAATTCTTTAGGAAGTTTGTTTATCACTTTTACATCGTTAGCAAGAGCATTGATAAAATGATCTTCATCAAAAACATCTGAGAAGTTGCTGAAGATTAAAACAAATAAAATGAAATCAATCATGAACTGGGCAATGTGACACATGGAGATTGGGGAAAAAAGGATGAAGAAGAACAAGGAACCTAGTGTCCTGCCAGAACGATTGTTTATCGAGTTCTGGAATTACAAGGGTAGCATTAATGATGCGGGCTACAGCTACCATGTCACATATCTGCAATTCAAGAATGAAAATGGTTTTTAAAGACCAAAACTTCCACTGATTTAGTTATGGAGTACTGGAAAATAATAAACACAAAATGATCTGGTCAACAACTCTGGGATCTAAAATAAGCTTTTACATAATCCGAAAGATACTAATTTCAGGACAAAACTATGAGCTAGAATTTTCAAAGCATGGTATGGTAGCTCTAAAAATCGGAAGTTATATTAAGGGCTAATTTATGAATGCTTTAGAATCCCTCCTTCAAGAACTCAAATGTTCTTATGTTACAGTGTATACATGTGCCATAAAATTGAATGATATTACTTGGAATTCAATGAGTGTTGAGTGACTGAATTGAGAGGTAAGGATAACAGTCCAAGATGAAATGAATATAACATTTCAAAATGGAATATAGATCATCGACAAAGATAAAGTTAAAAAGAATAAAAACAAAATAAAATAAAGTTGAGGAACTGAAACCGTACTTTGAGAACTCTGCTTGACATCATGTGAAATTTTAATAAAAACTATATTCTAGCAACAAAAAAAAAAAGGCTAAAACACTTCGATAATAATTAATGTCACTATCATAATGTAGGAGAGGTTACAGACCCCAGCGCGCATTTGATTGAGTCCCCCATTTGTATGAACTAGAAGGTAACCTCGTGACTCCACAGGAGCTGCATATCCGACAGAAGTTTTGAGATTAACTACAAGAAAATTTTGTTTGGAACGAGACGAACAAAGTAACACTCTTACGTGTATAATTGAAACTAGGTTCTACACATGGTAAAAAGTCGTGGTTCGATGGAGGCTTCCATAGCTTGTCCAGACCCGGAACCAAGTTCGCACTGCCCAACTGTCAAGTCTAAAGGAGTGAAAACATGAAAGGTGCATAACTTCTTATCAATACCGAAATTACATCTGATTACCTATTTTACCAAAGACTAGAAAAATTATATTCTACTAATTGCTAGAAAAACAATGGTTGTCAAGTAGAAAAGTCTCAGACGGCATATTATATTTCCAATTCTTTTCAGTTCTCATTGCTAATTTTGATTTTCTACCCAAAACTGAGGCCATTCCGGAAATGAATCATAACTAAAGAGTTAAAGGAAAGTAAAACCTTGCGAGAAGCAACAGGAGCTTTGGACAAATGGAGCGGAACAATCTCTTGAGTCCAGCTATTCTCGGTGCTCAACCTCTGGTGTTTAAATTCACGTTGCTACATGATGAAGAACATAATATATGTTAACGAAAATTTTCCAATATCAAAAGCAGGACAGCCTACAAACTTAAAACCACTCCGTCAAACATTTCACTGGTAATCAGTCAACAACGCAACTCAAAGTCAAAGAGTGCCCTACCTAATCTCAATTTACAATCGAAAACGACTCCCGACCGAGAGAATTAAAGAATATAAACGTAAAATTGGAATGCATTACACACATCCATTTCATAAAAAATTGAAGCTATTCACTGCCTTCACTCGCTCGTCGATTAAGCACTCTAATCATTTCGAATCCAAACGCCATAATCAGGAATGCTTCTCAGAAAGATTTTAGAAACAAAAAAGAAAACAAAAATACGCAGTTAAAAACACAGTAATACGTGAAGGAGAAAAGAAGAAAATGAAGAAATGAAGAGCGAGAGTAGAGATTAAGAGAAAAGATAGGTCACCGCAGGAAGCTTGTGGGAATCGGAGAAGCCGGGGACTTTGGAGGACGGAAAAAAGTGAAGATGAACAGAAAGAAGAGCTAGTAAGGCTATAAAACATATGGCGCAGGTTAGCAGCTTCCTCAGCACCGCCACTGCTCTCCTCCTCCGCTTCAGCATCTCTTTCTCACCACCGTCACTCTGAGCAATGGCGAGCAAGCCGCTTAGAAATTACAACTCTAAGTCTCTCTCTGGCTTCCGTCAGCCTCAACCTTTGGCTTTGTTCGTCTCCGGCACAGAAGCAGCGCGGCGGCGGCGGCGAGAAAGAGATCGGCGCGGCTGAGCGGTGTGTAGTTTTGGTTTTATTGTTAATTCATGTACAGCATTCGGCCGCACACTGCCTCTTGCTGGATACCATTTCCGCGTTGAGGGACGAAGCTGTAATTAAATATTGGGATTTCGACCTTTCCTGGGTCCCACATCGGATTTCAAATAGCCTTAGAATTTTCTTTGATTTTTTTATAAATATTTAATTACGTGCTTTAATGCATAAATCCAAGCTTATAATACTAATTTGGATTATATTACTAATGTGCTTTGGATGCGAATGTTCTCTATTGACACGAGGCATGTCTAACGACCTAAAATTTCTTTACCTTTTTCGTGTAATATGAAACGTCCTTAGCTCCAACGTGTCACAGCCTTCAAAGCATGTATAACTCGTTTCGTATGTGTGGGCTTGATGGATGGCCCATTCCTAGACCTTTCAGATAACTATCCCCATAATAACTTCTACGTTAAAATTAGTTGGTGGGTTTAGTAGAAATGGAACGAATTTCACTTAAACCTTCCATTTTACATTTATATTCCGATTTGTGGTCGGTGTCAAAATTGCCAAAACTAGCCAATCCACATGAGTCCAATCCCCGTGAATGGTCGCCACCTTTTATTCATAGCACAATAATGACAATACCTAACCTCTATGAGTCACATTCTTTAGGATGAAAAAGGCATTAAAAAAAACTGCACAAAAATTTCACCCTTCTAGTTTAGGTAAACCTTTTCAACCTTGTTAAATTCGGGACAATTTCGAGTAAAATTCACTTGATCATCGAATGTTTGTAAAATAAATTAAAAAAATGTAGTAAAAAATAATTTTTTTTTTATTATATAGTCAATGACTAAGTTTCTTTCCAATTATAAATATTTTAGTTCACTTATGGAAGAGAGAACTAACGGATAATCTGTGACCGTAGGCGACAAAAAGTACTCGGGAGGACGTCTTGCTTTTTTATTTTTTTTAATTATGCTATCTGAGAATAAAAATAATATTTTTTATATAAAAAAAATATTTACTTGACCACATCGTGAAAGCAAGACACTAACTGTAATACACAAAATGATTTGCTTTCACTAATTTTATATTATATATTTAAATTCAGAATATATTTTAAATTCCAGATCCGTATGTGTCGTTAATTTTATATTTAATTTTTTCCAATTCAGACATCTTTTCATACGTGTTTTACGGGGAAAGCATCAGATCTCAGTCTTGTTACGTGGCACAATCCAGTTGGTTGATAAGCTACAAATACCAACATTTAAGATTTAACGTGTATATAACTTGAAAATAATAATAATAAAAATATGCGAATGGTGCGTACGTGGCGGAAGATGACGTGATCACAAATGGGCCCCTCTTGTCTGAAACCTTTTACGAACATGCCACATGCGCATCATTTAAAAATACAAAAATAAAAGGTACCCAAATTTCATGGGTTTTGTTTGCCACGATAAACTCGCCACCTATTTCAATTCTTTATTTATTTTTATAATAATAATACGTATTAAAATAATTTTAAATACCTTAATTACTCTATAAACATAATCTTATCATGTAATTTTAAATACCTATGGTAATTTAATAATATATGAAATAGTGAAAGTTTTATCTCTTTTAATATTTAAAATTTAGAAAATTATAAAGGATATAAGATTTTAAAATTTTAATGTAGTTTATGGATAAGGTGAGTTGACATGTCACCACAAGAGTCCAATCTAATTAGCGATATTTCTCTTATATTTTTGGTATTTCATTATCATATAATTAATTGGTTAAAGTATCGTATCACTCATCTTTGTAGGCCACATTCTTTTGGTAACCACTAAGTCAGTTATCGTCATGTATTAAGCTTGATCACAAAAAAATTATGATTAAGCGTGTTTTGTTTAAAGTAATTTTATGTCGAGCGACCTCAATGAAAAATTTTAAGATACATGTGAGTGATGACAAAATATGCCGATTATATAATATTGTAAGCTCGAAGCTGATATTTTAAGTTTGATTATGAACATAGAAGCTTCATGGGCCCAAATTGCCAATCTTGGGCTGTGGAGGGTACAATTAGAGTTGGATTGGACACTCCAACGAACGAAAATGAATTGAAACTACGTGATAATAAAAGCAATCATGAGGATAGGATAATTAAAAATACTTAAACATCTTTATTCGGCGACTCAAACATGCTGGACTATGCATGTAACAATTCAAGTCCACTGCTAGTAGATATTGTTTGTTTTAGCTCGTAACGTATCGTAATTAGTCTCATGATTTTGGAATGCGTCTGTTAGGAGAAGGTTTTCACGCCCTTATAAGAAATGTTTTATTCCCCTCTTCAACCAACGTAGGATCTTACAATCCATCTTCGTTGGAGTCCAGCGTCCTCGTTAGCATATCGCACAGTGTCTAACTCTGATATCATTTGTAATGGTCCATGTTCACCGCTAATATATATTATCCGTTTTAGTCTGTTATGTATTAAAAAAAGTTATTGAGATTTGAGGAGAAGGTCGAAAAGGGAGGGAGTGAGGGGCGAGGGGTAGAGCTGGCTGGAGCAAGGCTGTCATGGGCAGGGAGGGTGTTCTGTTGACTGTGAAAAAATTCCACGGAAAGGACAGCGACAGTCCAGCTAAAGTACCAAACAATATTGTTTTCCTTTATTTATTTTATTTTATTTTTAACAATAATAAATTCATACGCCAAACTGTTCTGTACTACACTCACTCAATTCCCTGCTCACATTTTTTTTTTTTAAATTAATTCCACTTTTTTCCAACATCTGAATCATTAATAAATATTAACAACCTCGTGCTTTTTCCCTCATTTACCCTTTTATTTCTCCCTCTCTTAGTCCAATGTTTTGATTGTCATACTCCTCCGTATTTGGTTTTAATATCATTTATAACAGTCTAATCTCACTGCTATTAGATATGATTTGTTTCGACCCATTATATATCATCGTCAGATTCACAGTTTTAAAACGTGTTTGTTAGTAAATGGTTTTCACACCCTTATAAAAAATAATTCGTTTCCCTCTCCAATCAATACGAGATTTTACAATCCACCTCATTTGAGTCCAACGTTCTCACTGGCACACCATATGATGTCATTTCTAAAAGTCACCACTAGGAGATACTACGTTGTACCCTTTTTTACACCTTATATAATTATATAGTTAACATAAAAAAAAAATGCTTTTTTTATTAAAATATTAATATGACATCATTGCAATCAAGGGATAGTTAAGTAAATTTACACGTGTGGGGAAGGGTAAAATTGGAATTGGGGAAATATATAGAAGAAGTGGAGCATGAAGTTTCCAAGAACATGCAATGTTAGACTTTAAATCATTTACAATTTTGTTTCTCAATTTCCTTCAATATAACTCCCATTTCTAAATCTCATACCGAACTCGATAAAATCGACTTCAAATATAAGTTATGTGGAATAAAATATAAGATATGCATAATCTCCGACAATAATTAAATAATGAAGCTCGCTCAATTATTAAAATGTGATAAGTGTTATACCGAAAGTTTAGTGGTAATACAAACAACATAAATTCCATTAACATAATCCATAAATCATACAATTATGTAAGTTACCTAGATCAAATTATACAAAATATTGATGAATTTGTTCGATCACTCCAAGAACAAAAAACAACCACCAAAAAGATTGGACAGGATTTTGGCTGTAAGTTCTTGGATGGAAAAGATGATAAAAATCATGAAAAGAAATGAAACAATCTTCATCTGGGGTTTGGAAATTGGTTGGATCTGTGTGATAAAGTAGATGCTAATTGTTTTCGTCTTCGATTCATCATCAATTTGGACCAAAACCCAGGATTTGTTGCTTGAGTGGGCGTTGATCTTCTTTTGAACAAGGAAGAAATGGAGGATTTGGTTCTGGGGAAGTATGGGGAGGCGGAGGAAGAAGGGAAGGAAGAAGAGTAATAAGAGGATAGAGATGATAATGAAGAAGATGAAACAGAAGCCGCCGCCGCCGCCGCCATTACTGGTTTTGTAATTGTTAAATTACTCAGCTTTTCTCTTAGACAAAGTGAGCACACGCCTGGTGATTGCTTGTGTTTTGGGTGCTTCCGACATCGACTATTGCTGCTGCCGCTGCCGTGGTTGGGGTTTCTTCCCTTTGCCGCCGCCGTATGACCCTTTAGTTTGCTCAAATTCTTGGGCATTGTGGTGGTGGTGGTGGTGGTGGTGGTGGTTGTTGTATCATTTTAAATTTGGGAAGGTTTTTGGTGTTGGGAAAGGATTAAAAGGAAAAGTAGAAAGTGGGTGCACTTCCCGGATCCTTCATCGGCAACTTCCTTGATTTTTCTCATTAAAAAAATAAAAAAATAAAAAAATAAATTATATTTAAAATTTAATTTTGTTAGTTGAAAATTCGTGTTTGACTGGTTGTGTGTACACAAGTTGGCAGTTTGAACAGCTGTGATTCGAGGAGACAGTTTCGGGTGGGGACCACGGCCGCTCTTCTTTTGGAAATTGAACCGCCTCACCTCGACTCACCAGCCGTGGAGGAGCCCAAACCGGACATTATTTAGATTAAAATATTCATAATTTTACCTTAAAATTTAAAAAATGTTTAATAAATACAATTAGTTTTTTTATTTATTAAAGCTATTAATACTTTTTTCAAAAAAAAAAAAAAACCCTAAAAAAGGGTAACTTTAGAGTTCTTTTTAATTATAGGTATTAATAAAATTTTAAAAACATTTTTGATATTATCTGTTTCAATCTAAAATTAATATTTATTTTAAAAGTTGAAGGGTATTTTTTAATTTTAAATGAAACTTTCAAGAAATTTGTTTCAAATAATTGGAATTAAATTAAAAATTTTCACATTAATAATTACTAAATCTGTAATTTAGGAAAACAAATACACGACAAAG